GAAAGAGTGAGAAAAATTAAGACCAGGCTACCAGTGCTGACTTATGTTTTCTGTCCCTCAGCAGCAAAACTCTTCCTATTTAGTCCTGCTTCTAGAGAGCAGGGTACCTGTTTGATTTTGTTATCTAGGTATTTTCACATAAGTAGAAAGAAAACTGAAAAAGTCAAAGCATTACTTAATTTGACCACAAACTTAACAGAGCAGATAGAATGCTAGTTACATTTGTATCGACTGAGCTTTCTATCTCCGATCTCTGGTGCTAGTTCAGCTGGGAACAACCCTACTGCAGCTGTCAGTCTGAACTGACTTCTCGATGGGAAATCCCTGCTAACATAAAAGCAAACAATAAAAAAGCAAACCAAAACAAAACACAAAACAAAAAGCAAACAATAAAAAACCAAACCAAACCACTAGGTATGAGATATCTGTAAGTTGGAGAAGAAATACACGTGTAATACAGGAAAACAAATGTGTTACTTTGATACCAACAAATAGTGAAAAACTGTATCATCATTACATGAAAAGGTAAAGACATTTCTTGAATTGTTTGCCGGCTACTTGGAAATGAAATAATCATAGGCTTAAGTAAAGGTATGACTCACATTTTAAGAACGCTTAAAATACGCCCTATGACAAATTTGCTGAAATCCGCACGGACCCAAAAGTATAAGCCAAAACAAAGCCTTATGTATCAGATCATCCCACATAAGTTTAAAAAATATTAACGTCCTAGTTGCTTTCTTAAACAGACCATAAAGAAAATCTTCTGTACAATTCCAATAAATTATCTCTTATTTAGTTGTAACAGCAAGTTACTGTTAAGAGTGAAAGTGCCTGTTATTAGGTTTAAAATGGATCAAGAAGTTAGTCTCATCTAGAAGGTGCGTTAACTGGAAGGCAGGCAGCTAAACCACTGCAGAAGAGCTCAAGGACAGCACGGAGAGAATACCAGCATGCCTGAAACAGGTCAGCCATCCAGAGGTTCAGGTTTCAAAGAGAGCCCTCCTTTCCGTAAGGAATAAACTGGACAGGGAGATAAGCAGGCTCTGCTCCCAGCACCAGAGCTGACAGGGTAAGTACACTCATTAGTCACTTCACGAAAGAACAGAAGCCTTCACTTACTTACATTCAGTCTCTCCAGAACTAAACCTGTAGAAAAGGAGACAATTCTAACAGGTGCCCTTGGAGACCCAGCGCACGATTCATAGAATCATAGAATGGTTTGGGTTGAAAGGGACCTTATAGATCATGTAGCTCCAACTCCCCTGCCATGGGCAGGGACACCTTCCACTAGACCAGGTTGCTCAGAGCTCCATCCAACCTGGCCTTGGACACTGTCAGGGAGGGGGCATTCACAACTTCTCTGGGCAACCTTTTCCACTGCCTCACCATCCCCATAGTAAAGAATTTCTTCCTTATATCTAATCTAAACCTACCCTCTTTCAGTTTAAAGCCATTACCCCTTGTCCTATCACTACATGCCCTTGTTAAAAGTCCCTCAACAGCTTTCTTGCAGGCCTCCTTCAGGTACTGGAAGGCTGCTGTATGCTGTCTCCGCAGCCTTCTCTTCTCCAGGCTGAACAGTCCCATCTCTCTCAGCTTTTCCTCACAGGAGAGCTGTTCCAGCCCTCTGATCATTTTGGTGGCCCTCCTCTGGATCCGCTCCAACAGGTCCATGTCAGGAGGGGGGAGGGGTGGTGTGGGGAAAAACATGCAGCAAATCTGTATTGAAGATTGCCTTGGAAGTACCAACGTGAAGCCTAGTACAGATGTGAACAAAGCCTGGCATCAGCAGATCCCTGATCTCCTCTTAGGACAACACTTTAGATTGTAATTGGCTTCTACGAGGTATTCAGCGTCTCTTGATCAGAAAACCAAAGCGATTTTTGATCACCTACAAGTTATGCAGCTGATGTTCTGCCTGGAGAAAAACCATTAGAAGAGTATGCCTAGCACTTCCAAGCTCCTCTGACTTTGGACAAAAGCTAATCACAAGAAGATATAAATATTGAATGACGTTAAGTACCAGTTCATCCATGAGCACAGCTGTACCTCTGTCTTCACCCTGCAAACTATAGCCAGACAAAGGACATGTAATTTAAAAGCAATTGCAAAACACTACAGTTTCATAAGGATCCTTATATTTCTTTCATAGACACATTTCTTTGAAGAATGTTTCTCCTAAATGGTTTCCCCACATGAATCACGGTCAGACTACTTTTTCAAGACGTCTGTGCAACACACACACAAAAACCCTAGTTTTGTCTTGAAATGATCAATATTCCAATACCTCTTCAAGGCCCATACACGAATATTTATCACCTGCCCTTTACTTATTTTGTAATTTAATTAACAAATGGGTGAACACTTTTGAAGACCAAAGTAAACAGTGGTATCAGTGAACAGTTCACTTCGCTGCTCAAGTGGTTTAATGGCTCTCAAGATGCACTCTAGGTGCTCTCTTGTAACCGCATTCCTTGTACGTAATCTGCTTAAAGGTAGAAAAACATTTTAGCACTCACTTCTTAACAGACATGTTCTTACTGAACTGCTTCAAAAGAGAAATCCTCCATACAAAAATACTGAAACATAGCAGAATATTTGAAAAGAAAAAAAAC